GTTAACTTGTTTTACAAGCTATCAACATGTGGTTAACTTGTTAACCAAGTTTTTAACCTATCAATCTACTACAAATACATGTAACGTCAATCAACATTTATGAAGCTTTTAGGAGGCTCTTGTAAAAGGTCTTATGAAATAAACCTACTTTTATCTAATTTTACTTATTCCTATCTTATCATATAGGTATTTATTAGACTACTTATATATATTTGTGATATGTGTCAACATAAAAAATTTGAGGTTCTTGTGATTTATATATACAATAACTCAACTAAAAGTACTTTTTAGATAGAAGATGTTATTCTTGAAATGAATCTTTAATTAAAAGAATCTCTTTGTTGTAGATTTCATAATTAATCTTAGCTGCTCAAAATTTCTTAGAATTAAAAATAACTAGGTAGAGCTTATCATCTACTTTCATTTGCAATAAAAAAATACCTATAGAAAAATTTGATATGTTTGTTTCTATAAAGAATTGCTTAGATAAATCAACAAAATATAAAATTGGTACAAAAATAAAATTTATTTTCTAGACTTCAAAAGATGTTTTTATTTCTTTACTTCACTCTAGTTTGTCTTTATATGTTAGATGTGTAAGAAGAGCCACATTTTAAAAAAAGTTCTTGATGAAGATACTATAGTAATTGATAAATCTTAAAAAAAAAAAAATACATGTCTTTTATTATTTTAACACACACTAGATTGTATGTTCCTCAAACATCTATTTTTATATGGATCTTTGCTTAATTGATTTAGTCAAAAGATCTTAAAATCAAAGGTAGGAAATAATTATTCTTGATAGTGATCTTTTTAAGTCTTAGATAGTCTATGCATAGCACAGAGATCCAACTATTTTCTTCACAAATAAGATAAGAGCTCTTATTGGAGATTTTGAGTGGATATGAAGTTCTTAGTGTAATTCTTGTCAATATTATCTTTTCATAGAGTTAATTTATTTTACAATAATTTGTAGATGAATCTGAGTGGTGGTTGAGCTCTTTCTTATAAATCAATTGTAAAATTAAAAAAGGATGATGTTTTAAAAGAATATCTATATTATTTTTTTCAAAAATATCTTCAAATTCTTAATATTGGCTAAGAACACCACTTAACATCTTTCTACCATAAGAAATGGATGTGGCATATATAGCAAAAGATGGTCCTTCTTTTGCAGCATGCATAAAAGCTCTTACATCTACCAATAAAGATTTGTATGTACTAGATTTATATATTTCTACTTTACTTATGAGATTTTTTGATTAAATTACCAAAAAAATTAAGATTACAAGAAATCTAATCTATTTTGAGATTATATTTTTTTAACCATGATAATTCTTAAATAACTAGATTGCAAAAAATTCTTATCACATTAAATATTACTTTGTTAGTGTAATTCTTTAATTGTTACATCTAATAGAAAAATCTCATGGATAGTATTTCTATAAGACAAAAAACAACCATCTACGACCTTTACATATACGAATTTTGTTTTCTTGACTAAAAATATTTCTTATTTTTTATAAAGTCTTTGTCTATAAAATAGGCTAAGGCTCTCAAATCTAATATTGTAAAAACTTTGTAATTTTTAGGTTCTAAACACACATCTATTGTAAAACAAGGTGAAAGATCTCAAAAGAGAATGAGACCTTTATTAGATATTGTACATGATTCTAGTCGTATAATTTCTATTGTAACTGAAGAAACTCATTTTTTGACACATTGTCTTCTTTGGCAATTAAACTCCTTATTTTGTACATTTTTTCCTTCTTTAGAAAATTTTGAGTAATAAACTTAGCTTTTCTATAATATAAGCATAAATCCTCTTGACAACATTGAATCTTTTTTTGCTTCGTGAGGGATTTAAAACGTACTATATCAATTTGTATTGATTTCGGCTTTGATGAATAAATTTTTAAAAATTTGGAAACTACCATCATTACTTGATTTTTTCTTCTCTAGCCAAGTCTTTGTTCTTGATGCCTTTTAAATAATCAATTATAGCATGTAATAGCTTAAGTAATAAATTATTCTAAAGATTCTATCTTTGATATTCTCAATAACAAATCTTTAATATTATCCTTTAATATATATCAAAATTGATTGAAAATGACTTTTTCATTTTAATCTATGTTATAAGTAAGGTTTTGGAATTCAACAACATATATAGAAGCTAATTGCTATCCTTGTTGTAAAAATAAGAGCTTGGTCTTTGCTACTCTTTTTTGGTCACTTTCTTCAAATGTAGCCATAAATACTTCTAAGAATGAATTCAAATCATAAAAGAATTGCAAATCTTTTTCTATTACAGATGCAAATGAAGATAAAGCACTTTCTAATATAAGTGCAGCTATGAATTTAACTTCAATAAATCCATGAAGATATTAGAAGAAATGCAATCTTAAATAGAACATGACTTGTTGCAAAATTCTTCAAAATTTTGATCTTATTCCATCAAACTTATCTAACATATTAATCTCTATCTCCATTGTACTTGTAGAAGCAAAACTTCCTACATTTGGTTGTAAAGTCTATTTACTTACTTCATTCAATTATACAACTTTTTAACATAGGTTGTGAACTTCTTCCATAAGTATAACATTAGTATTTCTATAATTCATACTAATGATGCATGAAATTTCTACTCTAAGAGTGTTATTAAATTTGTAAAGATTAAAAATAGTTACAAATCTATTCTCACTTTTACCAAGTATAGCATCTATGATTTTTATTTCCATTTCAAACAACTTAATAAATCTACAAGTCAAATTAGAAGAAGATAATTTACAATCTCTGATATTAAATGAAAATTTTTACAAAGAGAGATAATCTGCTCTTTTTAAGAAAAGCATTTGGTGTTAAAAAACTAAATAGTTTGTTTAAAGGTGGATAATTTTCAACCTTCAAAATATAAAAATAGAGGTGGGATGATCCACTTATTACTAAAACAAGACCAAAATAAAAAGTTAGAACTTTTGTCAAACTGTCAAGGAAATGAACTTCAAAGAATTAAAATGTCAATATATTCTTTTGACACTTGAAAAGACTAAAACATTAGTTAAAGATGATATAGTACTAAATTAAAAAGGCTATTGCCAAATAAAAGAAGTTTAAAAAGTCTTGAAACAAGACTAAAGACCAAAAAAGAATTGACAAGAGTGAAGAAGGCTAGTGAATGAACCATTTATTTTAATTCAAAATTTGTACACCTCTTAACAATTAAGTTGAAAAGAAGTACAAATGTTTTGAAGAAGATCGAACTTACCAAAAAGAAGATCCTAATATTTTAATCCTAATATTTTAATCCTAATATTTTAATCCTAATATTTTCTCGGATATTGGCCGGCCTTCTTCTCCAATCTAAATGTTGAAATTCTAGCACCAATATCTCCTTATCAAACTGTTCAAATTTTTCATATACATAGGAAAATAAATCTACTGTCCACATACATAATTTTTACTCTAATCCAACTAATAGATTGCAAGAAATCTTAAAAACCCTCACTCAACCTAAAACTCTACTTTTTCAGATCCAACCCACTTAAACCTCAATAATCCTTGATCCAATCTTTTGATCAAGATCAAACTTACAGCATATATTGAACATATATAAACCCACAAACTTTCAAAATTTCACTTATGGATCTATTGCCAAACTTACGATATTCTCCAAAAGATATCTCCCTTTTTATTTCACAAATCCAAAGTCACCCAAAACAAACCCTAACTTTGCAAAGCTCTTACAAAGTCAATACAAATCCAAATCACCTCAAAACAGTGCTCAAAGAAACCTCATCAAGTTAGTTCTCAAATTCTATTGTTTGATCTCCAAAAGAACCCCAGAATCGTCATCTGAGCTCAGTTTTGTGCCTTGGGATATGATTTCGACCTTGGTCCATAACCGGCCTTCTTTGGGTATTAATATCTAGTTTTTCTAGATAATTTTTGCTAGAAACTACTCTTAACTTCTTTCCAAAGGTGCCTATATTGTTTATTTTTCTAATCTACCTTATTTTGCTTTATTTGTGGTCCTACAAAGTGAGTAGAAATCTATTTTGCAAAAAGGCACTATTAGCACCATTAATTTTTCTACCCCTTGACTATTATTTATTTTTCCAAGATAATTTGTTACGATATATTTGAAATAAGATCTTCAAAAATATGATATTTTCTTCATCCTTTTACCTATTAGTCATTTTATATCACGACAGCATCTGTGAAGCTTTTTTAAAAAATATTATGAAATAAATCTACTTTACCTACTTCTACTTAATCATATATATAAATATTAGGATAAATATGTATGCTTGTGACATTTTCTAAGTATGATTGAAAAATAATAATTTTAATTATGATATAATACAACCATGAAATGAATATGATTAATGAAAATTAATAAAATCACAATAGTATTATTTTAAAATAAAATAAAATGATCAAGTCTTCATTTTGGTTAGCCACAATCAATTAATAAGATATTTATACTTAAATGACAAATATTTAATTTTCAAACATTCCTACATAGTTCACAATCCAAATTGTTAATTTTTATAATAACTCAAATTTGGTATTACTTACCATCATTGAATTGTTCTTAGCACATGTAAATAATGACACCTAAAAAATTCTTAAACTTAAATTTGGTATAAGAATTTTGTATTATGTTGTCAATACAATATATGTTAGTATTAACAACTATAACAAAAAAAAACGTTATAAAAATCATATACATACACATTCAAGCCATTAGCTAGACATACTAACATTCACACTTGAAAAATCACATGATCTTCTATAATAGAATATTAAATAAATTATGAAAAAATCGTTAACCTCCCACAAAACCATTTGTCGCTTGAGCAAGTGCCCAAGTGAGAGCAATTCCTCTGGTGGTAGTGGGTGCCTCCATTCTGTGTGATGGATGCCAACCACGGTTTCAGGAGTCGTCGCCTGAAGCCGCGGACGACGACTTCTTCGTTCTCCAATGTCGTCTTTCGACCAAGAGCACTGTGAGCTGCATCTTCACTAGAAACCCATCATCGGCTGGCATGATTAGCTCATAACAGATTGTGGATTCTTCAAGCAATACAGAAACGGAAGAATTGCGCCTTGGGTTCTCGTCGTGGTTCAGTCTATGGTCTCTGGCCTTGGTGAAAAACTCAGCTTTGATGCTCACCCAGCAGAGACAGTGTAGGGTTCTGTAGTTTGAGGGTCATGTGGTGGTTAGTTTGGCTTTCAGAGTGATCGGCGATGCGGTAGAGGGATTGATGGGAAGAGTGGAGCGGGCGTGATTGCTGCCATCATGAGGAAACGCGACTTGGGAATTCTGTTGCTATCGGCGTTGTCCATTTTTTTTTCGCTCCAGGTGAGCAGCTTGGCCAATTATTTGCAATTGGAATCGTCAAACTTATGACCGAATTTGCAATCCTGAAGCTTTAAATTCTTTGAGCAGCAACTAATCCTGCTACGAAAATCTTGTCAGGGTTGCCCTTAGTTAACTCAATGTACGTCTTCAATGCATTAAGAGTGGTGATGATGTTAGCGAAGATGCTTGTCACTGCAATTGATGCTTGACTGCTCATAGAAAGGAATTCTGTGAGCAATTTTGCGTATTAGGGTTCCAGGTTGTGATGCGTCCTTAGTCAAATCAAGTCGTGCAGAGGGTTTTGAGTGTAGAGGATATAATTGAGAACACCGAGCTATGGGTTGTTCTCGCCCTTCATGATCCGAGGCATGACCTAATCGGTGGGATCGAGGTGTGTAAGCTTGGGTTCAAAACACCTGGGTTTGTATCTCTCGTGCTCGTGATTGAGTTTGAGTGCGATTCATGTTGTTAACTTGTGTCCTCGTCAGAAGCGTAATTCCTGCTGCATTTTTGTAGCCGGTGAATTGATCACTTTTGTGCCATATTCATCGACGGTATCTGAGCTTTCGATTAAGTCATAAGAAATGGCCTAGCTGTTCAGGATCGCGAGCATCTGGTGTTGTGGACCTTTCAATGCATTGACAAGAATGTGGTGTGTTAACAGAACGAAGGAAGCCTCTCGTTTCGACCAGCGTGGGTGCTTCACAAGGATAGTTCACCTATAAAGCACGAAGCGGAGCGTCTACCACCACCAGTTGTTGCCGATTTGAATGGAGATGGCCACGTGGAGGTCGTTGTGGCCTGGGAAGACAAACTCCAGGTAGTGTCAACTTCCAAGGCACGCGGTCGAGTTTTTGAGTTGGACTGGTTGGCAATGCACTGTTTTAGTGGGTAGTAAATTTGTGTCTTGGAGAGCATTGATCGACGCCCTGTTGACAATGAGGGTTTTTTCGGGTAGGATCATCACACATTGAACGTGTGTGTGATTCTTGCGTGTTTCCTTTGTTTGCACATATTTTAGCACAGGTTAGCAAAGCTTCTGAGAGAGTGTTGGAAGGCTTTGCTGGAACATTGATTTTGTCTTGAACAGGTCATCGACCCACGTGTGTCATTTGCTGAGAATGGATTTTCTGAAGCACGGGTGTTGGCGGAGGTTTCTCTCTTGCCGGATAGAGTGCGAGTGAGAGCTGGAAGGAGACCAGTTGCTCTAGCTGCAGGCGAGGTGAAACGCTACTACAGAGCACAGGACTTGAATAAGAAAGTGATTGTGGTCGTGACAGCTGGCTGGAACATCATGTGCTTTGACCACAATCTGAAGAAGCTTTGGGAAGATGATGTTCAGGTGCGTAGTTGTTGGCACTGGGCCCCTCTTCACCTGTAGTCAAGCAGGTTTTTTGTTCGCATCATATTCGTTTGATGTTGACCAAATGAGTTACTATTCAAATGTGGATTGACTTGGATGACAGGATGACTTTCCACACGGTTCTCACCACAAAGAAGTGGCTATCTCCATTAGCAACTACACCTTGAAGCATGGAGATACTGGACTGATCATTGTGGGCGGGAGTATGGAGGTTCAACCCCAAGTATGACTGGAGCTTGAACCTGTCACGGTTTGCGTCCATGTTATAGTGGAGGTGGTACCCTGTGGAGGGTTGAGCTGTGACAGGGTGATGAGAGTATGTGGCACTGAGGTCTGGAGTATTGAATTATAAGTTGTGTTGTCCAGGTACACTTGGATCCTTTCGAAGAGGAACTGATGGCTGAGCAAGTGATTGAGAGTCACCGACGTTCAGCTGGTGCCAAAGAGGTAGCGTGCTCGACTGAGTGACAGCAGTTGGTAAAGCATAGATGCCTACAACGTGCGATTGAGGTTTGCAGCGAAGTGCTACTAGTGGTTAGTCACCTCATTGGTCATGATATCTTGCAGGAGGAAGAGGATGTGACAAAGAAGATGGGTGGTGGAAAGGAGCGACATTTTTCATACTACGCATATGCTGGTATGACTGGCACGCGTCGGTGGGTTCACAGAAGTGAGGTAAGGGCGAGCTTACAGCTGCATGATGAGAGGCGTGCAATGACACATCAAATAGTTCAAGGCCAGTATAAAGAATGCACTTTAGGGAGCCAGGGCTGCATTGGCTTCTTGGTAGATCACAGTTAACGCTGAGGTTTAATCATTTTTGCTTGGTGTGTGGGGTTTACACTGATTTTGCAATGATAGATGAGAGCAAGCTTTCTAGCGACGTTGCAAGCAAACGGGTATATGTGAGAGATTGAAGTGGAATTTGTTTTGGAGCTCATGTTTATCTTATTAGGACTTTCGACGTACTACCGATGCTGGCGCGTTGCAACCACAACACAATTACAGGTTGGATGCCAGCTCGCTTGCTACTCGGCATCTTGGAGAGGTATGCCCCGTCACTGTATCTCACTAGAGTAGCACGTTTGATTTGATTGAAACGCATGAGATTGGTGCGGCTCTCAGATGGGCATGGAGAAACTGGGTAGTTGTGTGGCTGATGAGGTATAAAGCATCATTGAAACACAAGGATGGTGCAAGGGACACGTTGTTGAGGACGGGTTATGGTTTCTGTGGCAGGTTGAATGCAGGGAGTTCCGGGAGTCAGTTTTAGGCGTAATGCCGCATCGATGGGTGAGTTTCCTCTCTAGCATCTCTTCTCTGATTGTCTTTTCTTGTTATGTATGGTTGCACTGTAGAAGGGGTGCGTGGAATGCAGCGGGTTTCTGATTCTGTTTGGTAATGGCATAATTCAGGAGCACAGAGAGGACACAAGGTTCGAGCTGGCACATTTTCGGAAACATCGCCGAAAGTTGGTGAAGAAAGTTCCGGGCAAGGACAATAGCATCCCATCTGAGAAACCTGCGGACCGAAATACTCCTGGCATGGATGCGCGTGGTAATCCTATTGCCAAAGTTGTGGGCAAGGCTGCGGACCTGGCAGTTGGTGCGAAAGTTAGGAAGGTGAAAACGAACTCCCTGTCCCTGATTAGCGCCAAATTCCTTATCCGTAGTAGACGTTGGGGTTGTTGAGTGCATGAAACACAGTACACTGCATGCAGGTTACCAGGGCTCTTCATAGCGCTGAGGAATATTATGCTGGTGTCAGGTTGTGGTTGCTTCTTATACACGAGTCCATGTGATGTGTACGCCTGGTTCTGTGAGCGTATCATGTGAGGGGACTATAGCATCAGCATCAGTATTGGTTTGTTGGTTTTTCTCGCGCATGATATGTTAGCCTTTATGTCTGAAAGATTACAGCAAGTTGCGGTTCAGTGATACAGTGAGTGGTTGTGCAGCAACAATTTCAATACGTTCCGGTGATAACGAATCACACGTCACATTGGTGGGTTCCCAACGTCGTTGTGGCACACCTGAAGGAAGGGATTGAGGCCGTACACTTGGCTACAGGCCGCACGGTGTGCAAGGTAATTACTGCACACGTTGATTAAGTAAGGTGCTGCACAGATGGACTGGAATCATTTGGCTGGAATTCATGAGAGGCTGAGACTTTTTCAGAGTCGCTCAGAACTGGAAATGGAGACTTTAGAGGTGTAAGTTGGGTGCTTGCCATTGAGAGGACAGTTGAGAAGGTGGATGACGTGATGGGATGATTTTCACCTACTCGATGTGGGCGAAAAATGAGTGGTATGTCGGGTTGTGATCTGAGGATGAGTGACGTAGTCACTGTTGTGTATGAACGTGGATGTGGAGATTGCAACTCACTTGTTTTTATGGTGCCGGATGTTATGCTGACATGCATCACATCATTGGTGAGTGTTTGCAGCTGTTTCTCCCCGAAGGAGGCCTTCATGCAGATGTCAACGGCGATGGGGTTCTGGATCATGTTCAGGTGAATTGCAATTGATTGGAGATAGCGGCCGATGCAATTATCGAATATGTAATTGATGTAGTCAATGACAATCTTAGGCGGTCGTGGTCTGTGTGTTTGGTGTCAGCATAGCCGATGATATGGTGCCTATAGTCTAGTCATACACTGTCATCTCGACACTTGTTTGGCTTGATTGTGAATCGTATTGCTATTAGCGCGCAGATGCACCAGTTCACGTGCACGTAGTTGAGTACTGGCTTGTAGTGCAGTGAAGGAAGGCGATTTGCAGCACAAATGGATGTTTGGAAGTTGTAATAGATGTATTTTGAAGTAGTAGATAGGATGAGGGCCTTCTATGAGACCTGAAATGAACGCTGTTCGATGTGCAGGCTGTTGGAGGTCACGGATCAGCACGTATAGTGCCAACTGGAATGACGGAAGCTCTGAAGCCATGCTGGGCGGTTGCTACTTCAGGTGTACCTGTTAGGGCGCAACTATTTAACGGCACAGTGTGCCGGCACTCACCTTTCCAAATGTTCCCTCACAACGAGTTTTCTGGCGATTTCGGACGCCGGCCACATCCAGGAGATGCACTTGTACAAGTGGTTGCTCCTATCATTCTGCCACACCCAGATGGTCAGCGCCACCGCAAGGGGAGCCATGGCGACGTTGTCTTTTTGAATAGCCGCGGAGAGGTGAAGTCTTTGTATTGTAACACCTGAATACTGTTTTCTACTCGTCTCTCAGCTTCGATAGTTGGTACTCTGTCGGTGCTTGAAACTTTACGAAGTAGGGTAGCTTGTATATGAACATCATTTGACTGGAACTGCAATTCACAAGCACTTGTAGCAGTTGTATTAAATCTTAGGTGGTTGCATGGTGTTCCTCACCCTCTTTACGTGTGAAGGTCTCTGTTATTCTTACTGGGTTGGGATCCACCACACCACGGCTGTAGGTGACCTCTTTCTCTGTGTTGGGCCCGAGACGTGGCCAGGAGGCTCAGCACCGTTGGCAGGTCACGACTACCGCGTACTGGACGACGTCACCTGATTTGCAAGGAGTGGGAACAGCGAGGATCATTCCGACGTTGATAGCATTGCCTCTAAGGAAGAATGGGGAGGCCGACGCAATTCTCGCAGTTGGGGAGGCCGAGGCTGTGGTGCTGTCACCAAAAGGCAGCTACGTGACACAGGTGTTCCTTCCAACACCCGGGTCAGCACCCATGATATACGATGATTTTTCAGGTGACAAGTTGAACGACCTCATCCTTGTAAGCGAAGATGGCATTTATGGTTTTGTACAAACTAGGCAACCGGGAGCTATCCTATTTGTTTCCTTGGTGGGTGTACTGATATTGGTGATGGGTGTAATCTTCGTCACTCAGCACTGGGGCACTGGTAAAGGGAAGTCCAGAGCAGCAGAGAGACGTAGTTCTACCGGCATTTAGGCCATATAGTGTGCAGACATTTACTGGACGACAAAGTAATGTTTGTAGCTTGATCCTCAAGCTGAAATAGAGGGGCTCTTTGGCCTGGATTTATTTGGATTAATGCCTGTGCGTTTCACTCTGCATGTGAGGATGGGGGTGAGTTTTGAGGTGGCAATGCGCTATGGTTATTAGATGTAGAATCGTGGGTCTATGTGTTCTGTGAGAGAAACTGTTGAGGCATTGATATTCGAGGAGCAGTAGAGCACGACTTGTGCGATGGAGTGCGTTGACGAGTTCTTCGTCAACGTGGGCCAAGTTGATCGCTGAGGTTGTGGCGGTAGCAATCTGTCAACGCAACACTGGTAGTAACAGCTCAGTTAACGATGCTCCACCTGCAAGGTATGTCAAGGCAAATGGACTCCGCCCACGGTACTTGGCTAGTGGAGTAGGCCAAGCGCGAGCTTCAGTGAAAGGAATTGAAAGTACGAAGAGCCTTTTCATTGCAAAATGCGAGCACCTTGAACAACATCCATAGTTCTCACGTAAGGCTAATCTTTGGTTGAGGTACATGGTCGTTCAGAAGCCCGTCAGGTCTTTCGAAGACCAAGCGACGAGGAAATAATCGAAAGTTTCTCACGGTCAATGGAACGACGGCATGGATGCGTGCATGTACGCACATCATTGGGCTGCATAAGAGCAATCCAAGACCCAATATTGGATATAGGATCCCAGTCATACGTTACAGTTTGTACTTTTCTTTTCTCTCCTTTTCTTCAATGGGTCAAGATGGGAATGCTTAAGGGCATCAAGGGAAAGACCTGAAAGAGGAAAGAAAAGGAGAAAAGCTACTTTTCATAGAAAATCACTTTGCCAAACACCTTAGGTTGATCAAACGGGACATGTGGTCTACATGTGAAGCCATGTGCACTGAACCCATTCTGCTGCTTTGATGATATTGGAGTATCTGCTCATCCTGTCACTGGATCAAAAGCTGTGGATGTATGGAAATTGAATGAGGGTAATGTTTTCCACTGCAAGACAACAGAAACAGATATGTGCACAAAATGCTCAATATGAATCAAGTTCCACAAACTGTAAATTTTCATACAAACTAAAAAAGATCTCATGCTTATTGTAAGACATATTACAACAAATTGCTTGTTTAAAATCCATTCAGCAACTTAATAAACTCATTGTTGGTGGGCACCATTCATCATATCTTATTCTTTTGAAGATTAGTAAAACTGAAACATGTTATATATAAACATGAAAAGATACATAATGCCTACAACCATGGAAGGAACAAACCAGTTGAAATGTGTATATTTAGGAATACATGGAATATAAAGTATGGTTCCTTCAATTCTACAGAAAAGCAAGTAATAATAACAACAAAAGCCATTACAAAATATGTGAGACATTTCCAAGGTTATCCACATTAAGGGGATACAAACATGGCCTTTTTGGGTGATATTTCATTGTGATTAGATCTCAAAGTATGAAGTGATATTCCAAATATCACATGATACTTTACCAAATCATTGACCTCATGAGGTGGATGATTTTGAAATCCAAATATCAAAAGAGGGATACATGAAATATCAAAAATTGTATTGCTTGCTTTTACTCTCTTCCTTCTTTAACTTCATACCACACCAATTTTTGACTTTTTTAAATCACCAAAATATTAAGTGATACTTCAAAAACTTGAAAATGGTAATAAAATTTGAAAGGTGATCTTTTGGATTTGATATTTCAAGTGATCTTGGAAATATCATTTCTAAACATCAAGGACATAAATTTCAAAGAATTGAAAGATTAATGCACTCTTGTGTCATTCAAAAAGATTAGAAAATTAGTCTAAGATGGTATAATATTAAACTAAAATGGCTATTGTTAAAGACAAGAAGACTAGAAAGTTTTGAAACAAGACTAAAGACTAAAATGATGTTGGTGAGAGTGAAGAAGGCTTCATTCTTGCCTCCATATATACTATCTAATTAGGAGTTATATAGCGACATTCTATAAGACCTTTGACATGTGTCCAACTTACAAGACACATGTCTAACTTACAAGTCAAGTTTTTTTATACGTACGCCACATAATTAGCTTGTTGCACAAGCTACTAGCATGTGCGGCATGTGGCTAACTTGTTGGCCAAGTTTCTAACCTATTAATCAACTACAAACACGTCTAAAATCAAATATGCATTTATGAGGCTTTTAAGAAGCTTTGCCATTAAATAATATCAAATCCACCTATATTTATCTTCTATCTAATACTTCTGATTTAGATAAATATATATGTCCATGATACTAAATCCCAACTATTTGGTTTTGCAAAAGTATCATATCTAGATCCACTTATTACAAAAATAAATTGTGTTGATGTGGTAGAATTGGAACCAAAAGAACCACATTACAATGGTTTTGACTTTGTTTGCCTCAATAATGTAAAGTTGTATAATCCAAATACTTTTTGTTGATCTTCATAATTATTTTTAATATTATTTTCAATGCTTTTGTAGCAATTACAGAAAAGAAAAAAAAAAAAAAAAAAAAAAATGATGATAACACAAAGACACATATGGCCATTTGCATAAGTATGTAGATACAAACAATCACATACATAGTGATCTATTGCACATTCCAAATTATTCCTACTAGTATATATAAACAGAAATATATTTACAATAGATCAATAAATCATCACACTTTGCCAAATTTAAAGATAACTTTGTACTCATCACCTCATTCATGTAGAGTATTGGTTTATTACATTCAAATCTAGAAATTTACAAAAAAAACAAAAACAAAACAAAAACGACTTCTTTGCATAAGTTTCCCAAAATGATCTACATGAAACATCATACCAAGAGAACTTTAAAACTATGCTCACGTTAATTAAAAAAAGATAGATTGATTTCATGTGTATCAAAAAGGATAGGAAAATTGAAAAATTGAAAATTAGAAAAGGGATTAACAGGTGAACAAGGGTGGCAGTGTTTATGATTCTAAGACCAGATCCCAGGTTCGGCATTCAACGGGATCCACGTGGGGAACCCAACTCGTGTGCACTGTTCATTCCCAGCGAGGGAGGGAGGGAGGGAGGGCGAGAGTGAGAGAGCGAATCCGCTTTTTCGAACAACGGAATTCCAGAATGCTAAACAAGAGATGGACGACAAGACTTGACAAGACCCAAAGAAGGTGAAGAACATGTCTGAGAGTTCCGAGACACGAAGAAGCACACGGGACTGGGAAAACTGTGCAGCAGCAGCAGCGTGGGTGAAAGCACATCGCCAGAACTACCGGAGCATAATTATCAATATCTGATGCAAACAGCCCCAGTTAACCTCCCCCTGACTCGCCTGTCATTCTAAACCCACGTCCGGAATGGACAGTATTTTAAAAATGGTGCCTACAAGCTGTACTGTAGAAAATTCAATTACCAGCACTCATCAGAGTGGCGCAGCGGAAGCGTGGTGGGCCCATAACCCACAGGTCCGAGGATCGAAACCTCGCTCTGATACTCAGAGACATGAGCTACTTAAGCGCCAAAATCGCTTTTGCCACCTTCACCCCCCAGAACTAAACCTCAATTGCTCGGAGGCTTATTTTGCCCCAAATAGTCGTACTCATTCCAAATACTTCATTTATATAATACACTTGTGATCTTATGTATGTATGCATGTATGTATGTATGTATATATATATATATTTGTAATTATATATGTATGTATGTAGAACCTACAAGTTGCATTTATGTTCTATACCCACAAACTATTACATTAACTTGTATCATTTATTTTTTATTTTTTATTTTTTAAAATATTTTTTATCTTTCTTTAAAAAATGGGATATATTTAATATGTTAATTAAATGTTGTTTTTATTTAGTATGAGATTTTTTAGTATTTTTACATTTTTAGACTACACCACATTAAGGTATTCTATAGTATTCTCTTGGTACTTGAGAGATGGTTTTTTTGGATGATTATGTTCGAGATAATCATTGTTGATCTTTGACATTCTTGATCTTTGACCATTCTTGATCTTTGACATTCTCATCGTTTATTATGTTGTCTATTGATCACCGAAAGTCTTTTTACTCAATCTAAGTGTTTGGCTTCTTTAAATTGCAACGGATGATTCTTTATAATCAGTGTGTTTTAAATCGACCTTTCTTCACACATACAATGAATTCTCGCAATGCTCCTGAATGCTTTTTTTTGGTTTCATTTTGAAGTTTTCGCCTGGAACGTCATTCTTTAGTTTTTCATTTCAACACAGCTGGAGACTTCTCATTTATCAGGTCTAAAAGGTGTGGTTATTTGAGTCTTCTAAATGAAAAACTAAAGATGCCAAGCATGATGTAGCAAAACAAGGATAAGCCTGAGGTTTAGTTCTGGGGGGTGAAGGTGGCAAAAGCGATTTTGGCGCTTAAGTAGCTCATGTCTCTGAGTATCAGAGCGAGGTTTCGATACTCGGACCTGTGGGTTATGGGCCCACCACGCTTCCGCTGCGCCACTCTGATGAGTGCTGGTAATTGAATTTTCTACAGTACAGCTTGTAGGCACCATTTTTAAAATACTGTCCATTCCGGACGTGGGTTTAGAATGACAGGCGAGTCAGGGGGAGGTTAACTGGGGCTGTTTGCATCAGATATTGATAATTATGCTCCGGTAGTTCTGGCGATGTGCTTTCACCCACGCTGCTGCTGCTGCACAGTTTTCCCAGTCCCGTGTGCTTCTTCGTGTCTCGGAACTCTCAGACATGTTCTTCACCTTCTTTGGGTCTTGTCAAGTCTTGTCGTCCATCTCTTGTTTAGCATTCTGGAATTCCGTTGTTCGAAAAAGCGGATTCGCTCTCTCACTCTCGCCCTCCCTCCCTCCCTCCCTCGCTGGGAATGAACAGTGCACACGAGTTGGGTTCCCCACGTGGATCCCGTTGAATGCCGAACCTGGGATCTGGTCTTAGAATCATAAACACTGCCACCCTTGTTCACCTGTTAATCCCTTTTCTAATTTTCAATTTTTCAATTTTCCTATCCTTTTTGATACACATGAAATCAATCTATCTTTTTTTAATTAACGTGAGCATAGTTTTAAAGTTCTCTTGGTATG